GATTCTTGTAATTCTTCTAATTCTGAAGGTGTCAAACCTTTGCGCACGATGAAGGTGACTGCTGGGTTTTTTGCACCAGCAACCGACCTATCAATTGAGAGAAGTTTGAGTAAGAGCATGTGCCGAAAGAAGTTCAAGTATGTTCAAGTCAGGGGAAGCTCTGATGGAGGCTTGTAGCGGTATTGACATGTAAATCCCTCGTCATACGCGGGTATAGGGGCGAAAGACTACGTAGTCCAACCAACTCCCTCCCATAGGATAGGTAGAGTTGAATAATTGAATTAGGCAAAGCAAACATCTAAAGCACCGAAACATCTAAAGCACCATTATTGATATTCCATGTAATTATTAATAGGGACGGAATCTTATTTTGATGTTTTCGGTAGTCGAAAACACGATTCTAAAGCCTTAAAAATACGATTCCCGCCCTTCTGGTCGTGGGACGGGTTGAGTGAGAATTGGTTTTTTTGGTGATTTTAGTTGTTGAAAACCTTAATAATACGATTCTCGCTCTTTTGGTCGTGGGACGGGTTGAGCGAGAGATCGTATTTTTGGTGTTTTTAGTTGTCGAAAACCTCAAAAATATGATTCTCGCTTTTTTGGTCGTGGGACGGGTTGAATGGGAATCGTATTTTTTGAGTGGTAATCGTATTTTTGGTGTCTTTAGCTGCCCTAAACCTCAAAAATATGATTCCCGCCTTTTTGGTCATAGGACGGATTGAGTGGGAATCGTATTTTTAGTGTTCTTAGTTGCCGAAAACCTTAAAAATATGATTCCGCGGGTTGAGTGGTAATCGTATTTTTGGTGTCTTTAGTTGCTTTAAATCTTAAAAATACGATTACCTCCTTTCTTGTCGTGGGACGGCTTGAATGGGCATCGTAATTTTAGTATTTTTAGTTATTTTTAATTATTGAATGATGGAAAAACTATAAGCCGCCCATTTTTATTATTTCGTTTCTTGGGGTGTCTTAAATATTTGAAATCTTGTGGTTCGGCGGGTCGAAGTCGCCAAATCTTAGGCTTTTAGTAATTGATATAATTGAAATGGGGTCGATATAATTGAAGTCGGTCGGATTTTTAATTATTGAAATCGGTGGGTTTGGTGGTAAAATTTGGTGGTAAAATGATAAACTCGCTACCGCTTTTAATTATTTCGATTCTTTGGGGGGTCTAAAAAATTGGTGGGCTTAAATCGTCGAACCTATTGAAATTATTGAAATTGGGCCGATTGTAATTATTTTAGTTTTAGATGGCCTAAATAAAAGAAAAAATTGAAATTGGTCGGATTTTAATGCTTAAAATCGATGGGTTTGGTGCGATTTTAATTATTTCGATTTTGGGGGATAATTCAAATAATTGAAATCCTATGGTTCGACGGTCCCTAGCCGTCGACCTTTAGGATTTCAATAATTGAAATAATTGATATGAGGTCGATTTCAATTATTTCGATTCTTCGGGTGCCCCAAATATATGAAATAATTGAATTATAGATGAGTTATATATATAAGCTATAATTAGTGGATAAAATTTTTATTTATAATTAGAAATATATGGCTGTCGGTCATTTATTTTCTAATATTGGTCGAAATATATTGATCGTTGATATTGATATAATATGTCACTTGTACCGTCATTTATTGAATTAATTGAAATACTTGGAGAAATATTATCTCTAATACTTCTCGAGGCAGCTTGATTACTTGCAACGTCCTAAAGCCTGCTGTGGACGGACATGTGCTAGCCGGCGAGAATACACATCACCCAAGGTGGGGATACTATTTTGTAGAGTTATTAAATAGTGCCGAGAAATATTAAAATAATCTCCGAGTATGTCTTTAGTCTATGAATCCAAAAGTTCGAAGTAAAGTCACGATCCTTTGTGCTCCTATATTTTGAGCCTCATCATAGTATATTCCAAATCAGTCGTGACTTGTAATGTAATAGATGAACCTGCATCATGATATTTATTGATTTGAAACAGAGGTCTATAATTGCTCTGCAAAGTTGTTAGTCTTCCTTTCCTATATGCTGTTCTAGACTTCCAATATCTCAAATCTTGTCATAGACTGATACCTTTAATATCATCTAGATTTCAGCATCTTGCGATAGATCCGGGCTCATAAAAGAAAGTTCTTCAGGCTCACAAGGTCTCAATTCGAGTCGCACGAGGTTTATTTTCAAGATATGGGGCTCTCATGCCTCTCAGAAGCCAACGTAGTCTCGGCAATATAGCATCACAATTGCGTAGTTAGATTAAGACGACTTTCGTTTTGCGGCACTACCTTAATGCCCACTAGACTAGTATTAGACTTCAAATCTCAAGTAATATCGACGCGTATTTCCATGTCAAATATGCTACAAATATATTCAGATCATGGCCAACGTAACCTTATATTTCAAGTATCATCACAAACTACAACTCATCTATCGGCTAAATATATAGAATCATTTAGTGAAACAAACATAATTCCTACGACTTGTTAATTCCGAGTTAAAGATACTAAAGAGATAAATAGTTATATATATATTAGTATCATCGAAAAAAACCTTCAATTACGAAATGGGAGTTGGTCATAGAAATATCTATATCTAATTTACATGGTCTATTCAAAAAGACAAATACAATCGTACCATAAATCCCAAGACCTCGGTCTCAAATCTATCTACAAATCATACGATAATAAATACCGACTTCTCAGAATCTTACTATTAAACTAATATCATCATCTTAATCATCGATAAAACTATAACATACCTATCAATTGGCTCGGAGAAATATATATCAAGCTTCATATTCAAATTCCATCAATCTACGCCCATATATCAATAAATATACCTAAATCATTAATCACTATTTCACAAAAAAATATTCATCATTTTTAAATCAGATAAATCTACTCTCACCATATAAAAAAATAAAATCATCATTTCTATATAATCTTTTGCAATCGAACATATTTTTTTAATATTCACCGAATAGATTTTAATTTAGACATGTTTAATAATCAAAGCCATATCAAGAAAATATATATTTTATAAAGAATATATATATTCAAACATATTTTCCATTCTATCTTTTTGGAATCATATAAATCATAAAAAGTATTCTATCTTTTTTAGAATCGCATATATTATAAAAAATTGCCATCTCTATAATAATATATATATAATATAATTATATAACAAAGACCTATTAATATATTTTCGATCTAGAATTTACATATCAATAGCATGAATCGGTCCTCATTCAAATTGCATTATTTTTCGCAAATTCCTCTTCATAATTCAATATTCCACGACACTCTCGACCCACTCTCGTACAAACAAACGTCCTCGCCCACCCCTCCACGACCCCTCGACTCACCACTCGCCCCACTCCAGAATATCCGCCGACCCCTGCTGGGGCGGCGCCAGTGAAATCCCGAAGGGTCGGTTTTTGCTTGTCTTCCCGTCAAGAAGAAGTAACAGGCTTCAAAAGTTAGCGACACCGCCACCCCACCACCCACACCGTTTTCAGCGCTTCGCCTACACTGCCCCGTTCACCGTTCCAAACCCTCTCCGTCTCCACCGCCGTCAGCGCTTTGCCCA